TTCCCTTTGTGTGAAGAGATATTTAAGACTCTTGTGATCAACATAGATCTCAAACATAGATTATACAGATAATGATGCCAAATCTTAAGGGTATGAACCATTGTAGCTAATTCTAAGTCATGGGTTGGGTAATTTCGTTCATGATTCTTCAATTATCTCGACTCATAGGTGATGACTCTACTATTTTGCATTAACACACACCCTAAACCCTGGCCTAACGCATCAGTATATACTGCATTAGCCCCTTATTCACTAGGTAGTGTTAGTATTAGAGCTATCACAAGTTGATTTTTGAGTTTTCTGAAGTTATTTTCACAGTTTGGGGTCCATTCAAACTTAACATCCTTCAGCTTCAATAAAATTCTTAGTACCAGCAAATGTAGGAGGATGGAGTCTTATGAACTTTCTATGATAGTTTGGATCCATAATGACTGGTTCTTGATTGTACGGAGCCAGTACCGGAGGAGGGCCAGACATCCCTTCTCTAAGCTGCCTAACAAGCTCCTCTATCATGTGGTATAACTAGTCAATATGCTCTTATAAGGACATGTAATCGGGAGGTTGCTCTGGTGGAGTCCGTCCACATCTCATCTTACAACCCTTCATTTAGAAAAGAATGAATTAGAACATTTTAAAATAATGTTTCCTACTTCTAAACACTCAAAAGTTGCAAAATATCATATTTAAATTCTAAAACCTCATGCACGAGGGATGTTTCTGGGAATGTGGGCTCTGATACCACCTGTAACATCTCCAACCCCAATGTCGCTGGGTATGAACGTTAGCACAATATTTTCAAGTAGTAAAACATATAAATAATTATTTATTTACACATAATTGAGGTATCTAAATTAATTTATAAATTTAAAATACAAACTAATAAGATTTTCTTCACCATCTTTTATTGATATTGAACTTGTTTTTCATCTCTTCTAACCTGAATGTAAGTGAATTGAGGTGAGCTTCACGAGCTCAGTAAGAAAAAAAATTCTATAACGGAGACTTACGTACATACATTCATGCAATAATAAAAATAAAATAATATTTACAATCAAAAAATATCAAACAAAACATCTTAATTAAAAAACACACAAAAACAAATTATCACACGAAACATATTCTAATCATCATTCTTATAACCTAATTCTTGTTCTCCTTTCAAATCACACTTATACTTGAACTATCATAATACACTCGGAATATCACATCTAAGGTTTCATCGCGCTATACCGTTTATATCATCATCGAGGAGAGGCAAAATGGATCCACTCATCACATGGATAACACACACATATGAAATCTTACATTGGCCACAACAGTTATATTTACTAGGTGACCCACTCATAAACACCTATTCATGTTTGGATTAGGTTTCAAACTCTATCCATGTGTAGGTTCACAATATCCGCTGAACTTCAGCTACACACGCACCTTCCCCTCATCGATTCAGACTAAACGAATGGGTATCTAGGGTCCTTACACTCTATACTCTTTTCAAATCTCTCTCATTTCCAATTAACTTATTTAATACCTAGTATCTCAATTTTTATGCATAATAAAACACAAACACACACACACAGACAAAATACACAGTATCATCACGCACATAAGAGCCATACATTTCAAATCGCTTTTTAAATCATTCTATACCAGAACACACATCAAGTACAAAATACTTAAATTACTCGTGCAATTGTACTAGATCACACAGCAAGCACAGTGCATCGTAGATCTGCACCAAATCACACAACAAGTGCAATGTACCCAAATTTCACACGTACACACATTGGTTATATATTTTACATCCATAACTGATGTACACACATTTTAATACACACACATATATTATAATACAGACATATACCATCACTACATGTCTTATACAGAATATATATTTGTATTCACACATACACAATCTCTACCGATATATACACACGTTCATACTTAAAGACGTATACATAATCATACACAACATAGCATATATATATATATTTATTCACGTATTTGTTCTTATCAGTTCTGTTCTTATCAGTTCTGTTCTTATCAATTCATATCACATTCATCGTATATTTTTATGTATATACACATATGCGTAACAATATATATATACACTGCATAAACATAGATAAATATAAATTAGACATATTAATTACATATAGTACATTATACATATATTTAAACATTCACACATAATGCACTATAGATGTACACATTTATATAAACATATAATTTATGTCTCCGTACGAATATACATACTTTTTAGTTTGTTTAAATGATCATTTTTAAACCTCAATTATTTCTTTTCCTTTTTATTTTTACATTTTTATTTTATTTCTTTTTCTTTTTCAATTTTTCCTTCATTGAGAATTTTTCTTTTTAATTTTAGATTTCATCAGTCCAAATAACTCTCAGTCCATTAGGTCTGTCTTCTGGTTTCGTCTCCTCATAGGGTTCCAATTATTTAGGTTTACTGATAATAATTTGGATTCTTTTTTTTCTCTAAAATTGGGTCAATGTCCATTCAAATTTCAAAATTCATATTTAATGAAATAAATGCACTTTTCGAAATTTGAATTCAGTTAAAATCATAATTTAGATTATTTTTTTCCTCTAAAATTGGATCAATGTCCATTCAAATTTCAAAATTCATATTTAATGAAATGAATGCACTTTTCGAAATTTGAATTCGGTTAAAATTTAAAAATACTTACTCTCTTATGCGTCTTTCCAGATCTGTCTGAATGTTTAAATTTTTCTATACACATGATATAATTAATTAAAATACTTTAAAATACTAAAAATTAATCTAATCAAATTACAAACTCCAATGGCTATCCAACAGAATACCCGAATCTATCGAGATCTGTTCCCGAAAAATCTTTCGACTTTTCGTTTGGCGTATCAGATTTTCTTTTTTCAAGAAAAATTTTTCAGCTTCCAATACAGCAAACCAAATTTTCGTTTTCCTAGGAAGATTTTTTAGCTTTCTGAATGACGAATCAGAACCCAAAATGGTGGATCGGGTTCCCATGCTCGAGGAAGATGCTTTAGCTTCCTGAATGGGTCAGCTTTCCCCATTCCTGAGGAAACTTCCTCGGTTCCTGTGCGGGTAGGTGGCCTGGTCGAGCCCGCACGGCCGGCCCGACACTGGCCCTGCCCCACCGCCGCTCAGCCACCACCAAAACACAAAAACAAAACAGTTTTACCTTTCGACGTGGGCGATTTGGCCTCGACTCGCTTGCGTGCTTGTAATTGGAATTGTGGTTTTTACGCCTAAAAAATCGATTAGTACAAAATAGAAATAGATTAAAAAGAAAATAGGGAAGAAAAGATGAAAAGGACGAACCTTTACCTCGCTTGCCTCGGTCTCCACCATCACACGACGTCTCGGCCGTTCTCTCTTCCTTCTTCTTCCT